CTACTTGGGGAACTTCTAATATGTAAATATATATGCACAAAATATATTAAAAGTATATATATCATATGTAAGTATATATCTGGGCCTGATTCAATTGGGATAGAGCCTTGGCTTCTGAATTTGACAGAAACTAAGGCATTCTGATACACACTTCTGGTTAATGACCACTCTAGTGTTCTATTGAATTATCTTTGAGATAGGACTTAAATTACTCAATCTTGATATTTTAGTAAGGGCTGAGAATATAGGCATGTCTTGCTGGCAGTGCACATGGCACTTAACATATGCCAGACACCATGCTAAATAACTTTCATGTAAATTGTCATTTAATCCTTAAAACCTTGTGAAGTAGGTTTAATTTTAATACTTCATTTTTAGATGAGGGTAGTGAGATTTGGTAGACATGCTGAAGGTTACAGGGGAAGTTTGGGGCAAGACTCAAACCCAGCTTAATGCTATATCACCTCTCTTTTATGCTATATTATACTCTGCATTAATGTTCTCAGGTGGGCTTAAATTTTTTCTTTAGCTAGAGGATCGACCTGCCTAATGCTTGTACAGTAGAAGTCCTCTCATCTACTTAGATGAAAAAGTGAGTCACAGGAAATTACAAATGACACTGAGCTTTTTAAAACTTTATTAACTTGGTAACAGTATTTTGATTTCAGTCTTTTCCTTGGGTATGAGTTCTTTGATTGGAATTCTGTATCATTTTTTCCACAAATCACTCCGATAATGTATGGTCTATAAATTTCGGTTTTAGATTTTTTGAAAGTGGAGTAAGATTTTAGATGTTTAGGAAGTAATTTGTAGAATCCTATAAATTTTTCATAATTTTTTTCCCTTGGCTTTTGTCATCTGCCTCTAATTTGACAGTTGTTTTTATCGAGTCTTTCCAAAGCATTCCACCTAATTATGTACAAACACCTTTTGCATTATGTGTTTGTATTTCATTTGTGATATTTATATTAAACATTAATAAATAAATATTGTCAGTACCTAGTATAACTGGTATAAATAGGTTGGAGAATATGATTGACTTTTGTTAAGCAAGCAAATCGGGGAGGAGAATGCAATAGTGTGAGGTTTCTAAAAAGTATAGTCTGCCAGCTTCAAGAATTAAGCTTGTGGTAGGCATTTTTCAGTGTATTTTACTATGGGAGTGCAGAGCATCACTCCAGTAAGTTGGCTAAGTAGAAATCAGTTAAGAAAGCTTCTATATTTTGATGTGTTTTATGTGCAGGTGGCAATTACATTATAGAAACAATTCTTACCCTTCTACTGATTAATGGGAAAGATTGTTTAGTAAGCAAATACAGAAATAAAGTAAGAAGTACTGTATCTTATAGAGTGAATTCTTGAATTACGTTGCTAGGTGGGTTAGTAGAAGGACCAGTAGAGTAAATCAGGAATAGATTCCTTGAGGAAGCAGAGACCCTTGAATTGCAAAAAAAGAAAAATAGTTTGGATTGAAAGTGATCAGCTACTCAATTCTAATGAACCTATAGGAAGAATATTGAACCTTTGTTTAAATCTCATTTAGAGGAAGGTATAGTGAGATTTTAAGATAGATAACTTCCTATTAGAAACATGATAAAAAGGTTGTAGGGAGAGCATTAAATATTGTAGCCAGATATTTTCCTGGACTGGATTCCAAAAAGACATTAACAAATTGGGAGCCTGATACATATCACACTGTAGAAACGAGGAACACAAGGAGAAAGCTGTAAATGGCTTTCACAGAGGATCCACTTGTTTAAAAAAGTCTCTGGATTTAAATTAAGAAAGTAGGAAAAGTATATAGTAGTGGAAAATATGTCACCAGAGATAAAAGGGGCAGTTAGTAATAATTTTTTTTAAAAAAATTTATCTGCCTTTAAAAAACTTTTAAGTCTTTTTGATTTCGTTCTATTCCATTTCTGGGAACCCTAAATAATCTTAATAAATTTGAAAAAAGCTTTATGTACAAAATTTATTCCAAAAATTGGAAACTAAGAAATTTTTATTTTATAAGAATCATTAAATATGTAAATACTTAGCCCAGTGTCAGGTACATAGTATTTAGTAAATGTTACGAAGTTTTTTTTCTAAAAAAATGGGCAAAGTCAATTGATACTGTTAGAGTACTAGTTTTAATTGAAATCAAAAGAGCATCTTTATGCTAACCTATTCTCTCAACTTCGATTTATTCAAAACCCTGTGGTATCATTCTAGAATAGTTTTTTGATATAGAGGTTTTAGTAATTAGTGGGCTCCTCAAGCTGTCAGCTGTGGATCAATAAAATCTAAAAATGGTCAATTTAATATTACCATGTAGATTCTAAAAACCAAGCCTAAGGATATAAATAATTTTTTTTTGGTCTAGGCAGTATATGTATAAGGTACAAAATTAAAAAGTAAGGATTTCCATTTCCATTAAATCTTTTCTGTTCTTGCACCCCAGCCACCAAGCAACCACTGTTATCAATTTGTTGTGTATCCTTCTAGAAGTATTCTATGTATATGCAAGTGCATGAGATAGAAGTACTCATTTTACACAAATGGTAGCATACTTTACACATTGTTGTGCAATTTGCTTTTTTCATTTTCTTGGAAAGTAAGGATTTCCATTTCCATTAAATCTTTTCTGTTCTTGCACCCCAGCCACCAAGCAACCACTGTTATCAATTTGTTGTGTATCCTTCTAGAAGTATTCTATGTATATGCAAGTGCATGAGATAGAAGTACTCATTTTACACAAATGGTAGCATACTTTACACATTGTTGTGCAATTTGCTTTTTTCATTTTCTTGGAGCTCTTTTTTTTTTTTTTTTTTAACAGTATGTCGCACCACTTCATTCTTTTCAATGTGTGTCTATATATGATTACGTCCTAGTTTAACAAGTCTCAGATTGATGGACATTGTGGTTGTTTCTGATCATTTGCTAGTACAGACTAATGCAGTAAATAATCCGACATGCTATTTCAGAAGATATGTTGGGTTATTAATGTTGGGTTCCGGGACTAGTGGTGCCTTATTTATTGAAGATCTGTGCTTCATAAGGAAGATTTCCTTCATGCTCTTTATTATACATGATGTTTATGGAATGTCAAACCCAAATCCCTGGTGAATATAATGGAAATTGTTAATAATAACAAGAAAATTGTACAGTATTGCCAAACAGGCTTCCCCTGGGATACAAAGTAAGTATTTTGCATTATATGGATTTTCTTTAATTTAGAGGAGATGGGTAAGTAAATAGTTTCAACTTATTTCTGAGTAAGGGAGTCAGAATAAGATGGACGTGGGGGAGTAATGATGGGATATATTGAGAGCATACTAGAGATTATAGAAGATCCTCTAACTTTTCACTTAGCATTGTGATCTTTGCTGAATTTTATCGTAAGAAAAATCCTTGGGGGGTGGGTGGTGGATAAAATTAGATTACTAGTTTGGAATGAGACCTAGGATTGTTGCTAGGAGCAGAGAATAATGATAATATTTACAAAGAACAATTTATAAATTGTTTTCACGTACCTTAAGGATTTTCACAGCAAGTCTATGAGTTAGATATTACTGCTGTTTGCATTTGACAAATGAGAAAACTGAAGCTTAAAAAGATTAAATTGCTAGATGTCCATGATCATATAGCTGATGAGTAACAGAGCCAGGACTAAATCCAATTTCCTAATATGACCTGCCTAAAATATGAACCTTTCTTAGTTCATTGTATCCAATGCTCCCTCACTTCCTTTTTTTGGCCATGGAAACTGAATCCAATAATTTCAAGAGCTATCATTATTATCAGCACCACAACCATATCAAGTTATCTTTTCTTGAAATTTACAATGAAAAGTTTACCATTTCATCAGTTATCACTGAGTTTTGGTACTCCTGGCAGGGTACCACAGAATCCGGCTTTCCTTTTTCTGTTAATCCCTAAATGATTGATTACTTGGCATGTGCTCCCCTCATCCCTCGCAGATCTTACTATTTGGGCAGGTTAACGGTGAAGTGAGAGATACATAGATTTAATGGAGATATGTTAGCCTAATAACAGTGTAGGAAAAGGTGTGAAAGAGTGAGTGTTAGGACTTTAGGACTGGGATCTCACACAAGATCCTTGGGCCTTAAAATTGAAAAAGGTTGGGGGGGAGGTGTGTGTAGGAACAGGATAGTACTTTTTAAAAAAATGTAGATTATA